CTTGGCTTCTCCGAGTAGGTGGCCTTCCGGGGGGATGCCCCCCAGTATTTGAGGTTGATCACAAAAGAAGCCTTGAGCAACTAACGCCTTTTCCTTTTCTGTACTCAACCGTCAGAAATCCTCCTTTTAATGCTGAAACTTCTTTTCAATCTCCATCATCTCTATAGCCTAAAAACCCTTCTCCGAAGCTTTGCCACACAAAAATTCTCTTCAATGGCCAAACACACCAAAAATCCCTCTGCCTCTACTAGGAAGAGCACTTGCTCCAGAGCAAAACCCCCTTCTCAGCCCCTTGAACAGGTAGACCTAGGATCCGATCATTCTGAGGGGTTTGCCTCTTCTCAGGCGGATTTTTCTGATCATTCTCACCCCTTAAGAAAAAAAGCTTTGGGAAAAAGACCTATGGAAGAACCCCTTATTTCCTTCACTCCAAAGAAATCAAAAATAGATCTTTCTATTTCCCAAGAGTCAGACCTAAATTTCTGGGATTCTCCAAATACGGACTTTTTCATCGCCCTAAAAGACAAGCCTATTGCTCATGAGAGGGTAGTCAACCTTGATGACATGGAAGACCTAAATTGTAAGGTGAAATATCTTTTCATTTATCAAGGGTGGTCCAAGTTCTTTTTTGTTCCTCCGCCTAAAGTCTATGAACCCCTAGTGAGAATGTTTTACGCCAATCTTCGTTCCAGTAAGTCTGATAAGTTGGAATCTTTGGTGTTAGGAAAGCGTATTGTTCTTGATTGTGCCATGTTTGATTTGATCTTTCAGTGTAAGTGTTCTGGTTTCCCCCATGCTTTCCAAAAATTCCTGGCACAATGATTTTGAAGTTTCTTTTGATCAAGCTAAAAGGCGTATTGCTGAGTGTCCGTCTGAATCTCTCCCAAACCAGTTAGGTCCTAGTGATGTTAGTTTCGAGACTCGAGTTCTGGCCCACATTGTTGTAACCACTCCATTTCCTCATACTGGCTCTTTCTCCACCTTCTCTCAAAGATACGCCTTTCTGGTCTACTACCTTGTGACCAAACTCAAAATCAAGGTGTCCTCCTGGGTCATCAATTTTATGATTGAAATTGCAGATGATCCCACCGGTCTACCCAATAGAATGGCCATCACTCATATTCTGGAAGCTCACAATATTCCCATATTTGCATATCCCTTTACCTCTGTCTCTAAATCTTATAACTCTCGAGCTTTTGCAAGTATAGGGTATGCTCATTGGTTAAGAAACAAGAAGGAGAAGTCAAGAATGCTCAAACAGACTCCAAACCCAAATCTTCTGCTTCCCATCTTAGCCATAGTGACTCTGACATTGCTGAAAAGCTTAGTGCCATTGACAATCAGCTATCTGCAATCAAAAATCTTTTCATTGCCACTCAGTCCACTGTTGGTACCATTCATTCTATCTCTAAAGAAACAAGGTCTGATGTTTGCGGTTCTCAGAGTAAGGGAAAAAGCTATCAAGGCATTCAAGGAGGTTCATGACAGGCTTGATGGAATGAGTGTTTCAGCCAATGCCACCTTTAATCGACTGAAAGAGGCGATCTGCAATACTCTTACATATTTTCTGCATCTTTAATATGGAAGTTTAAGACTTTTTTTGTGTCCTGTTTTTGGACTGAAAAATTTAGTCAGTGGATAATTTTTTTTGTTGTTTTCTTTTCTTTTGTCTTGCTATAACTCTGCCAGCACATCCTGTTATAAACCCTGCTTTCGTATGTTGTGTTTTTTTATTTCCTCTTTTTTGATGTCAAAAAGGGGGAGAAAAAATATATGTATTGTACAGGTACATACAAGAATAAGTTTACTGAAGGGTAAGTCAGCTTGGAACTTTTTGAGGGGGAGTCATAGAACTTGCAGAAGAAGTCGACTACATGCGCGTCAACAACTATCACCAGACAAAGTCAACTACTCTTATTGAGGGGGAGTAAAATATAGGGAAGTCAACTGATGTTTATACATATATATTATTTTGTCATCATCAAAAAGGGGGAGATTGTTAGATCTGATTTTAATGATGAAATTAATATATTTGTTCTTTGTATAGGAACTCATAGATATCATTCAAGATTGAAGGAATCAATCATCAAAGATCAAGGAACTCATGGATGACATATAATATTGACGGAATCAATCAGAGAAAATCAAGAAAGGCAGACGAGATTGAAGGAATCATTGATACTGACGGGAGCAATTAAGGCTAAACTGAAGGAATCAAATCAATCAAGAGTATCGAAGATCTTGCAAGAAAACCAATCAAGTATCTAAATTTGGAAGGATCAAGATTCAATGATCATGCATAAGGGAAGTCATTATAGCCTATCGTCAAGACAGAGCCTTTCCTGAATAACCTTATTCTTGGAAAGAATCGATCTCTTTTCAAGGATCAAATTTCTTGGGTTGGCAAATCTCTCCATAATTCAAGCCTTTCTCAAAGTATTTAAACTTGTATTTGTACCTTAGCACATATATTTTGATTGAACCAAATACCCTCTCTTTGTTCTACTACAAACAAACATTATAGCTCTACTATACATGTTGTGTTACAAGTTAGAGAAGAAAGAGAGACCAACACTGGTGAGACATTATATCAAAAGAAATGAGTGATATAGGAACTGAGCTATCAGTGTAGATCATACCATCATTGTGTACTTGAGAAACTCATTTACTGAAAGAGAACTCCCTTGCAACCCAAGAGGACTGGACTATGATTCACATTGAATCCGAACCATTATAAAAATTCCGGTGTCTTTAATTCCTGCAATTAATATCTGCATCTTGAATTTTATCATTACTGTTATCAAGTTGTTATATCTAGCCGACTAACTAAAAAACTAGTCAACTGGTAGCAACTAATTTTTAAAATAAATAATTCACCCCTCTTGTACTTTCAAATTGAACTCACAAATGATTTGCAAAGGGAGAAGATTCAAAGGATTGATTGATAATTTGACATAAATAACCTCAAATAGATATTTAACAGTTGTTTGACTTATTGTAAGAGAACTCTGCTTGTGGCAACATAAGATCCCGTTGACGAATATGTTTTTCAACATGAAATTTCCCAAGTAAGATAAAATTTTAGAGGTATCTACAATTCCTTAAAATTTTTGAAGTTGTATTTGGTTAATTTCCTTACGTTCAAAATAAAATAATATAGAATCAACAATTATGTCCCTTCGAATATGAGAAGTAAAATCTGCAAGTAATTAAACCAAGACTATACTTTCTTACATAATAATTTTCGCAATATCTACTGAAGCAAGCATCTTGGGACTTGATTGAGAAATTTTCTTTTTTTTCGAACTCATCTTAAAAATATTGTTGGTTATACATTATTGGATTGAATTTTTGAAGATGATTTTTAAAAATTTTTGAAGATGATTTTTAAAAGATTTTGAAGATGAGTTTCAAGTTTGTAAAACTATTTCTTTTTTAAGTAAACAATATTTTTCTCTCATAAAAATACAATATTTTTTCAAATGAAATATATGTTCTTCAATTTTCAAATGCCTACTAATTAAGTGCTACACCGGAAGGAAAAGGGAAAAAAATGTTGTGGGTGCATTTGAGTAGTGCATTTAATGTATTTGTGCAAATACATCAAATTGTACGAGAAAAAATTATAGTAAACCAAAGATGACTAAATAAAAACTTCGTAGATTTATGCTTGGATAAATTATTTATTACTGTAACTTCTTTTTTTATCTATTTCATTCTCCTTTTTGGATTTCAGTAAAAATGAATCCATATTTCTAAGGCTAAGAAAAATTCTTGAAGAGTTAAATGTATGAAGCTCAAGCACTTCTCTTAAGTAAAGTTGAACCTTTGTGTTCTAGTCTTCATTAACAGCTTGTTTGGATGGTTGTTACCTATTACTCCATCTGTTCACTTTTACTTGGCATGTATACTAAAAATAAAGTTTTATTTTTCCTTATCATTTTACGCATATTAAGAGAAGACAATTTTTTTTCCTATTATATCCACAATATTTATTACTCATTTCAAATCATTTTCTCAAATCTAATAAAATATGCATCAATTAATTTGTGTATCATAGTAAATTATGTACTTCATTTATTATTTCTTAAGGGGCATAAAAAGTCAAAACGTGTCAAGTAAAAATGAACGGAGGGAGTATATTGTATCGTATTGTTACTTTAAATACTATGATTGTTTTGATTGTTACTTAAATTTTATTGTATCGTATCGTTAAATCCGTCGTTACGTAGCGATGAAATTGTGTCACTTTATGTAACGACCGATTTGGTGTAGTCGCGTCGTTACCTTGTCTTTTTCTCTCAATCTCACCGTTTATTATTATTAAATAATTTTATTTTATCATTTACCCTACCTTGTTATATACCGTATCATAATATATTTTTTGGAATATTGCAAGTTTATTCTTCATATTGTTGGCGTGTGATATCATAAAACGACAGCATGACATAATCTATCCAAATATTATATTCATCAAACGATACAGTGCAATACAATACAATACGATACGATACATTATGAAACGATACGTAACAACCATCCAAACAAGCTGTTAATCTTCTAGTAGTTTTAAAATGTGTGCCTTAGAGTTTACGTTTTTATAAATTTAGTTATGAATTTATTAATAATGTATTAGTTTTCTTTAGTATTTAAGTAGTGAAATATGGATATTTTTTGAATATTTAAATTTGAAAGATTTTCTTACCTTTTATACGTAACATTAAACATAGATTTTCACTTTTACTTGTCACTTTTAGCATATTAAGAAAAGATAATTTTTTTTCTTGTTATGCTCATAGTATTAATTACTCAATTTATATTATTTTCTCTAATCTATTAAAAATATACATCAATTAATCTTTATTTATTATTTGTTTAAAGGGTGGGTAAACTTTGGACTAAGTAAAGGGAGTAAATAGTGTGGGAGTGAACAGGTGTCATGACTGAAGGGACTCGCACTGACCTCTAGTTTGTCTGCTTGGGGGGAGCGTATCTTGTGATAATTGATCCCACCACCACCACAGACAGCAACAATAAGCACTCCAATACAAATAGACGCGCTCATCCTCCATTATTCCACCAGCAGCAATCAATAATCATGCCTCTTTCGCCTGCTACCACTGCCACCTGCTTTACTACTTTTTCTTCTACTAATAAAACCCATCGCCTTCCTCCCGCCTCCGCCTCCGCCTCCGCCTCCGCCTCTTCTTATCTTTCAGGTTTGCTCTCTTCGCGCTTCTCTTTTCTTTTACACTTTTAATCAAATTTCAGGCCTACTTTATTTTGGATTTATAGTAGTTCTTAAACCTCGGAGGTTTCATTCCCTTAACGGAACAAATACTGTCACAAACAAATTCAACACTGCTAGTCGCCTGGGTTTCACCCTACCGTCCCATTCCTCTGGTAAGTAGTACTCCTACTACCTACAACTACTGCTATTTCCTTTACGCAAAATTCACTTAGTTTGAAATATAACGAGGAAAAGTGACATGTATATAATATCAGTTGCGTTGGAAGTGATTACGTATCACGCTTTTCTCATTGTCTTCTTTAACGTTCATTTCTTTGTTTTGGCAGCTTGTCTAATTGATTCCACCCAAACAGCACCATCAACTGATTTTGCTCTTCAAGTATGTTTCCCACTAATCAACACACGCTCACACTCTATCAGTTGAGATAATTAATCTTGTAAAACTGAATGCAGAGCAATGAAGCGACCAAGGAAAGAATTAGGGAACTGTTCCATAAAGTTGAAATTTCTGTTTCTTCATACGACACGGCGTGGGTGGCAATGGTCCCTTCTCCACATTCAGCTGAAGTCCCATGTTTCCCTGAGTGCCTTGACTGGGTGTTGCAGAATCAACTGGAAGATGGATCATGGGCGCTTCCGCATCACCGACCCTCATTACTTAAAGATGTTCTTTCGTCTACTTTGGCATGTGTCCTTGCACTCCAAAAATGGGGTGTCGGTGAAGAATTAATCAGCAGGGGTATGGATTAGATTGTTCTTTACCTGAAATTTTCCTTTATGTTCATCAGACTGAAGCAATGCATGTTGCAGGGTTACGTTTTATCGAGTTAAATTTTTCTTCTGCAACTGACGAGGACCAATATTCTCCGATTGGATTTGATGTCATATTCACTGGCATGCTTGAATATGCTAAAGAGTTACCTCTGAAGCTTCATTTAGAATCAAGCGTGTTTAATGAGCTGCTTCATAAAAGGGATATCGAGCTCAAAAGGTAGATTTTAGTCATTAAGATGTTGTAACATTATATCTACTTTTCTAAATGAACTTAAAAGTGGGCTCTAGTTATATAATTTTAATTTCGCTTTTATCGGATTGGGGCTAGCTAAGTGTTTTAAAATATATAATGCATCTTGAGAGGATAATTGACCTGTTCAAAACTTGCAAAAGAGATGGGCATCGTGTAGATTCTCCTAGCTAACTTACTAAGCTTCAATGAGAAAATCAAAGTTCATCAAGAAAGAAAAGCAATTTTTGGAGAAAACATTATAGCATTCTGATTTCATATTCACCTCAGCTTGTCTGTATTTTCATTGAAGATTCCTTCTTCATGTTAGATTGTACAACAGCAGCTCATTGGAGCTTAATCCTTACCTCGCTTATGTGTCAGAGGGAATGGGAGAACTTCAAGACTGGAAGATGGTTATGAAATATCAAAGGAAGAATGGATCATTGTTCAATTCACCATCTGCTACAGCTGCTTCTCTTGTTCACCTTTATGATTCTTGTTGCCTCAATTACCTTCGCCATGCATTGGAAAAGTTTGGGAATGCCGGTAAGTTTTTGCACATTTATTTATATCGTGAAAGTTTTTATGGCATCTTGAGCAACTTATCTAATGCCTATCGACCTTTCAGTTCCAGCTATCTGTCCAATAGATATACATGGACGCCTTTGTATGGTCGATAATCTCAATAAATTGGGTATTTGTCGCCATTTTGCTGAGGAAATTCAGAGTGTACTGGATGAAACTTACCGGTAACCTTCAAAATCACAGATACTCTTGCGCTTGTACAACAATATTAGTTCTGTTAGATTGACTCTCTCCAAGCCTACACATCGTAAGTTATTACTTCTACAAGTCAATGACATTAGCCAACAAAAAAAAAAAGATGTTGGCTGCAGGGGGAGGAAGAAATCTTCACAAATGCTTCCACTTGTGCCATGTCATTCAGGATATTGCGCGTATATGGATACAATGTCTCCTCTGGTACCTCAATGACTTGTAATCGTATCAGCTTGTTTTCTTAGAATACTTTTTGTTGTTCAAATAGTTTTGACGAGTTAGGCGTACATTACAGATCCTGTAGCTCAGTTTCTGGAGCAGGAGCACTGTGGTGGACATTTGAAGGACATATATACTACGTTGGATTTGTATCAAGCGTTAGAAATGATTATTGCTACTGATCAACCTGTTTCTAAGAAATTGAACTCGTCCTTACATTTTCTTAGACAGCGACTGGCAAGTGAGGTTTATCCTCCAAGCATACGTATGAGACAGATCCATGAACAGGTATTTGCCATAAGTTGTGTTATGGTCAGCTCAGATTTCATTGTTATTGTCTCTTTGAGCTAGCTACTGTTACTTATTTTAGGTGAATGATGTTCTCAAGTTTCCTTCTCATGCGAAGTTAGAACGGATAGCCAACAGGAGAAATATAGAGCACTATGACATAGATAATACAAGAGTCCTAAAAACTTCATACTGGTAACTTCTGTCAATTTTCTCAAGGACTGATCTTGTGCTTTTTTGGTTATATGTTCTCCCTTTTGTCAATTACTCAATTCTTCCCCTTTTTGGGACAGTTCATCAAATTTTGGCAACAAAGATTTCTTAACCCTGGCGGTAGAAGACTTCAACTTTTGCCAATCTATTCATCGCAAAGAATTAAAACAACTTGAGAGGTTCGTATCTTTTTGAACCTTGATCATCGCTATGGAACCAGTTGTCAGTTGTCACTAGTTGTTTTACAATAGTCAGATCAGAGATGGTATATTTATTAAATCAAACTGGAAAAGCTTAAACCACATATTACATCTCCCAGATATTTTTTCTTTTCCTTATTTAACTTCTTTCCTTTCGATAACTTCTGAAATTAACAAAAAGAAAGTTGATTTTAACTTATATGCAACCTTTAGTCTTATAGGTTTCCTGGTTCTGTTTTCCTTATTACTTGCCAACGAGTTGGTCTCTACCTTGTTGAGGAAGTTATGATATCAAATGGTGAAGAGCTCTCTTTGTGCTATACTTTTCCTGATGTGCAGACTTGAGTGTTTGTGGTAACAGGTGGTTAATACGAAACAGATTGGACAAATTGAAGTTTGCCAGAGAGAAGTCTGCATACTGCTACTTTTCTGCTGCAGCCACAATTTTTCATCCTGAACTATCTGATGCCCGCATGTCATGGGCCAAGAATGGTGTACTTACTACCGTGGTTGATGACTTCTTTGATGTTGGAGGTTCTATGGAAGAATTGAATAACCTAATTCAGTTGTTTAAGAAGTACATGTCTCCTGTCATATTTTCATTGTTATAAATATTCCTTGGTGATTTCAGCAGTGTCGTCTTATTCAAACCCCTTGGTCTTTTTGGCAGGTGGGATGTAGATATTAGCACTGACTGCTGTTCGGAGAAAGTGGGCATCATATTTTCAGCGCTTCACAGCACTATTTGTGAGATTGGAGATGAGGCATTTAAGTGGCAAACACGTAGTGTGACAAGAGACATAACTGATATTGTAAGACTCTTTACCTTTTTTATAACTAATAGAGATATTGCACTCTATGACATTCATATTGCTTAATTCTCCCACATATTCTAAACTGTTTGCAGCATGGCATGCCAATCAAGGTTTTTGTTTTTCTGGCATAGGGCATGTCATGCCAAATTAAAGTGTAAAACACAAAAAAAGAAAATGTCAATTACACTGTCATTTATCTTGGTTAAGATTTAATCTGGGGTCGGACATTGGTTTGTTTATCTTTTGAAAACAGAAATTATATATTTAGAAAGTACGGAAAAAACTATACCAACGACATATTTCTTAACTTAAAAATGATCAAAGGATTAGTAAAATCACTTGAGTCAAGGAAGAATATTGTTGACCCTATGATAGTTACTGGGTCAAATGTTATGATATAGATACAGTCATCTTTAGAAGAATGTAAATATTGAGATAAAGATTCTTTAGCACTGCATGTTTCATAAAGTAAACCGTTAATGTTCATATATTTTCACAATGCTTATTATTAAAATAAGTACTCTATTTTCTCAGGTGTATCTTTTAATATTGGAAGTTCTTTATGTTTCTAATCTGTCATGACTCATGAATCAATTGCATCTGACACGATGAATTGATCCCAGTGAGGAAACTAATTTTCAAGATAAATGAGTTAATCAGATGAGGTGTATAGATTAAGATCAGGTTAGTTGGTTTGGTTATTCGAATCCAATGGTCAGACAAACTCTTTACTAACAGAGGAGGAGTTTTGCAATGAAAATTGCACTAGGAGGGAGGTTATTGCATTTTTAAACTTAAGAGGGAGATCTCCTAAACTATGTAAATGTAGAAGGGAGGTTAATATAAATTAACCCAAGAAAAAAAACTGATAGATGATGCAGCATCAAAGTTTAAAACTACGGAACTCAATGTAGTATTTTATCTTTCTTCAGTAAACTCTCGCTTCCCTTACCGTTTACAACTATACCTGGTTGAGTTTATGACTTTCCAAGATTAATATCCACCTATTACATTTATAAAATAATGACGTCAACCACTTCCTCTCAGCAGTGAGCTCTAAGAAGTGGACCTTTAATCTGCTAGTTATGCTTTGTCTATATATCAACTCACGCCCTACCCGTGCTAAGAAGAGAAATTTTTTATGACACATTTATTAGGGATCCAAGTTTCCCATTTTATCCAATTTGCTGGTCCTGTGCGACAACTTTCTCCGTCTTGATACTTGGTTAATGTACCTTTGGCATAACTGCCTTGCTTTTGGGCACATATTTACATTCAACCATGTTTCATCCAGGTTTCTTTGACAGATGTTCTAGTGTCACCATAGTTTACCATATAGGTCGAACTCAAGATGCTCTTTCTGTCACATAAACAGTATCCCTCAGCAATTGAGCAATTGGTTCCTTTCAGTATTACAAGATTCGCCAATATCCTTTGTTTACCAGTGTTTTTATCTAATTTCAAATTGTGTTTGGAAAATCAAGTTGAAAATTCTTGCAGTTAATCTTTTGATTATTTTATGAGTAAGTTAAAATTATGTTTGCAGTGGTCGAATCTACTGAATGCTATGTTAAGAGAAGCTGAATGGGCTAGAGATATGTCTGTGCCAACTATGGACGAATATATCGCCAATGGTTATGTATCATTTGCCTTAGGACCAATTGTCCTCCCGGCACTTTATTTTGTTGGGCCCAAGCTCCCAAATGATGTTGTGCAACACCCCGAATACCACAGTCTATTCAAGTTAATGAGCACTTGCGGTCGCCTTCTTAATGACATCAGGAGTTTTGAGGTATATATATGCTTCATTATTCCGCACCAGACATTCCCTTGCTGCTTCGTCATTTTCTAAGTTATTTGATCTCTTAAAATATTTTTGCAGAGAGAGTCTAAGGATGGAAAACTAAATGCTGTAGCCTTGAGCGTCATTCATGGGAATGGCAGCGTAAGTGAGGAAGCAGCCATTGGAGAATTGAGCCGTACAATTGAAATCAAAAGGAGAGAACTCCTGAACTTGGTTTTGCAAGGAGAGGGGCAAGGAGAGGGCAGCATAGTTCCACGTGCTTGCAAGGATTTGTTTTGGAAAATGAGCAAAGTGCTGCATCACTTTTACATCAAGGACGATGGTTTCAGTTCAATGGGGATGACCGATACTGTGAAGGCAATTATTCATGAACCTATAACTCTTGAGTAAGGTGGACTGGGTATTTTCTGATCAACTGAGTGGATAAAATGGCCAAAATAGTCTTTAAAGTTTAAGGGTTGGATTACCTTAGTTCCCAAATAATCCTTGGCACCATCCTTTTAGATAGGGACTGAGTTCAGTTCCAGTTGTAGCAGCGAAGCTGTCAGCAAAGTAGTCTGCAGTTGGGGTTAGCAGAAACATTGACTAAATTCTGTTACGTTAACAAAATATGTTTGGTGGACTGAAGTTCTCTTAATTTACAAACTTGGACATTTTATGTTCTATGTAATATTTGAGGGACATAGTTAATTCAATTCCTAAATTAATGGATTATCTTGCCCATTTGCCTTTANCCAGCCACTAATTCTGTCAGTGCTGGAACTGCTGATTAGAGTGGTGGATATTGGATAATTTGCAAGTCAGGAGCACGATACTGCTGAAGTTCTCTGCTCACTGGTGTAACTTTTAGGTATGTGTCACTTCTTATTGATATCTTACTAGCAGCTTGCTATACTTTATTAGTTCTATCATTAACAACTACTAATCAAAATTTCCTGGTACTCTTTAAATACGTAATAGATATATTGATGATAGCCCTTTATTCAAGAAATGATAGTGAGCTATATTAATGAAACTAATACAACTGAGTTCCTACCCGACCTGCTTTCAGATTGTAAACAAAAAAGAATGTCAACATAAGCATTTTGTTGAAATATTATTCATGCCCATTTAGCCATCACAGACATGCACCCAGCTCCAAGAAGAAGTGAAATGTGTGCCCCGCATAGAAGTCTGACATTGTTCTGCATCTTTGGATTCATAAAATCTGATGCTAGTATATCAACGAGGGCCATGTAGATTAAAATCCCTGAAGAAGCAGAATTCAGAATCCCTTCGACTATTAGAGAAATAGAGCTATGGGCATTATACACCCTCGATATTCCGATCCCAATCCCAATTCCTGCTGGCGTTGTGAGAGAAAAAAGAACTGCCATGATTGCTGTTGATACAGACTTGAATTTTGCCTGGAAAATGCAACCAAGAGAGATGTATTGTAATATATATTAGGTGTCGTCAACAATTAAAAACTTTTCGAGTCACTTATTTTTATGCCAACCTAAGCTCTTCGTCAGCTTTATGTTATTGGAATATTCTTTGATTCTGTCAAAAACTTTATATAGTATACAAATTAAAATACTTCTAGAGATCATGTACCTGTGAAATACAGCCTCCAAGCCCCATGCCTTCAAAGAATTGGTGGAATGACAGAGCAACCAATAGAGGCTTTATCATTTGGGTATTTTGTGAAGCACCTAAGGAAACTCCAATTATTATGGAGTGGACCAGAATTCCTAGCTCCAACACCTGATTAAGCAGCGGTAATCACATTAGTTCATAATGTTAAATGCATGTTCTTAGTTTAACCTCTTCTGTGGCAGTACATATCTCATGGAGCTTACTTGTGATATGATGCGATTTCGTATATTTTCAGACAGAATCAATTCTTGATCAAATCCGATGGAATATGTCGCCCCATGTGCATGACCATGGACATGGCTGGTATGACTATGACTGTGCTGTATGTCATCTCTAGCTGCCTCTTCGTCCGCAATATTGACCTGCTTAGCTATGTGAAAGTGCCTCTTTTGGTAAATACTCGTTGCAAATGTATCAATCATCAAACATCCAATAGAGGCGACCATGGCAAAGAAACCTGTGAAAGGGAATTTCCCCCAAGGGTTCATGCCTTGCAGGCAAGGTGATGTTAGTGTCTGAAATGCATCAGGCAATAGGTGGATGAAGCCAGTGGCTAGAATGACACCAGCAGCAAAGGCCTTGATCATGAAGAAAATATCATTTTCGGGCCTCAGAGCTTCAATTTTCCTTGCCAAAAGTGGGAGACTGACCCCAATTGCACCAGCAATCAGTATTGAAACTATTGATATGAGTCTGTATCTGAGGGAAACACTACTGTTTTTGGTGTTTCGCGGTTGATCAACTTTGATGTTGCAAGTGCATTCACCTGAAATTCCAGGCGCGAAGACTACAATGACAAGGCATGTTAATACTACAGCTTTATAGCAGTAAGAACAAACTTGGACATTGTGGTTATTCATGGTTAGATGAAGCTAAATAGAGGAGAAAAAAAGAGGTTAAAAATTTAAAGTTCCAGATTCTATGTTCTAAAGGACGCGGGAGATTGTGCAGATCCTTGCTGTTTTCTGTGGGTGTGAGAGTCCAGTTAAACAAAAAAAATCTAGTAAAAGGAGACTGGCATTGAGAGATCAGACCAGGAAGAAAGTGTTCATTTATATAGTGTCACTGCATGGGAAGAACGTCCTTAGATGTAATTGGATCGATGATGTGGCCATCAGAGTTGGAGTTATCACCAAATATTTTCTGCTTTTTTTACTTTAAGAGTGGGAGTGGGAAGGTTCAATTGAGTCATGAAGAGTGCCAAGGACTTAACTACATGACATCAAGGGCGGACCTAGAGCATTGAATACAAGTTTCCGGGAACTAGTGATTCTTGCGTAGACCATATATTTATATTAAGAAATTCACTAAATATTAATAAATATCTAACTATGAACCCAATTACTATTGCATATTAATTTGAAATTACAGTAGGAACTCATAAGCCTCAAATCCTGAATCCTGAATCCGCACCTGCATGACATCAACTTTTCAGGTAAAATTGCTATTGGATCCCACAGCTTTTTGAGTAGTAACAAGCTGAGTAAATTAAGATTAGTGAGAAGGACTTTAGTAGTTAGTGGTGGTGGGAGGTGTAGACAAAGTGTTGTCATGCAAAAATGCAATTGCCTTTGAAGAAAGGCTTCACTGTTTCTCAACTTTGCATTTAGCACACACTGTTCTGTTGATTTTGTTCATATCTGGCCTCAGAATGTCGTTATTATGTCGGGCTATATTAATCTTAAACTAACACTACTACTCTTAAAGCAGAAAAGGCTTTCTCCTTTCTTGATTTCTCCTTTCTTGAGCTTTTCGCTTGTAAAGTAACCTATTGAGGATATGCTTTCGTGTCCCAACTCCACACAAATTTTATTGACATAATGCGGGTGCTGTGCAAAAGTTATACAACTTTTTTAGCATCTTTGTTTTAGTTTTTAGTGACCAGCCTTCATGCCTAATTCATGATTTCAACCTTTATATTAGTATTGAATTTATTATAATTTTAAAATTATGAATTTAAATCTAACTACTATATGTATTCGCGCGATGCGCGGATCGTATAAAAGAATATTAAATTATGATCGGGTTTATTTGAACGTATTAAAGTGTATTGTTTCAATAAATTTCCACGATCATTTATCGATAATCAATAATATTTTTTGATTTACTTCATCTTATTTTTAAAATTAAAGTATAACATCGTCAGTATTTCTATCTCTTACTTTGTGCATTTTTCTTATTTATTTTATCGACAATTATTTTTTCCAGTTAGAATTACCTATAATCTAAATAATGCCATATTTAAAATCCTAGTTCTTTTGAGAAAACCCTCGGTGAAATACAAAATTGAATTGATCCATGCTTAATGTTAAAAATTTTGGTAACCAACTCTATGAAGAAATCATAAAGTGGAAGCTAATCAATTGTTGCAAAAAGAATAATTCAATCAATTCATGCACTGACAATATGACTTTTGTTTGGTGTAAGTATCACAAAAAAAATTTCCTCCGTAAGTTTATTAAGTAGATAAACTTTTTGAATTTGATGTAGTTGATGAGCCATATGAAATGACACATAAATTACTTCTAAAAAGTATAGTCACTACAGTTTACCTTTCTACACATGAAAACTTGAAAATTGCACAATATACCTCCAATGTGAGGAACTTGAACATTTTTTCCTCGCATAAACTGCATAATTTTAAACTCTAATCATTCACAAATCTTTGCAAAAGGTAAACTTCAATACATTAAATAATAGAATTTAGGATAAACATATTATAAAAGAAACTAAATGAAAGACATCTCGGAAAAGATGAGACTCTTGTTGAAGATCTGATCTCCACTCAATACCCATAAAAGCTTTATTTTTGCAATGACTGTTAGAGTTTCCTGAACCAAAAAATTATGAATGTATAGTATCTTTAACAAAGTAAAAACCGAGACGATACAAATAAAGAAGAAAATATAAGAAATCATATTGAAGTCACTCTAATTTTATCATCTTTGCAAATTTCACAACACATCACTTTCATCATGAATTGCTAAAATTACAAACCTAGAAGGACAAAACCTACAAAAGACAATGCTCAAAATTACCACTAGCATCTACTACTAAATAGCATTTGAAAAAAAAACAATTATTTTCTTAACCAAGATTGAGCCTTTTTAAAATCCGAATACGTGCCGATTGGATGACAACATAATCAGTAAGAGAAAGAAGAACAAAAATTTGTTGACTTGAGAATTCCGCATGGCAACCACAATTATTATATAAAATTAGAAATATGATATCTCTTATGTAGCATATCGTGTAATATTACAGTCATTCACTTTAGTACTCAAACTTCACTAAATAAATGCTTGCATAACCATTTAGGTTAAATAAAATATAACGTTTACAATTCAAATGAAGTGAAAAAATATTCTTATTTTTATTCTGAAAGTTGTTGGCTCGTAAAAACAGTCGTGTGCCAGAACTCTTATTTCAGATTTAGAACTTCTATCACCAAGACGAATTTCAGAAAAATTAATACTGAAGAATCAATTTCTCATCTCATGTTGAGCGAATACAACTGTAATCAAAATTCGTTTATTTATCCATTTGCAAAGCAAAATCTCCTTATCCATCTCTTTACCCCTCTCCTTAATAATATATCTCGACAAAAACTTCGGAAAATGATGAACTATTATTTGCGTTGAATTTTTAAACAAATCAAAGAAAAAAGAAACAGAATAGACCCTTTGCATAAAGCCATAAATAGAGATTAAAGTAGTCAATATAATCACACTCTCCATGTAGCAATATAGTTCTGTACATTTTAAAATATTTAAGATAAAAAATAATTAAAAGAGATTGTGTACATTCTTCAAGTGAGAAGGGCAACAGAGATAACTTACTTGGTTGTAAGTATATCTATCACGATCAGGAATTCCCATTTTTGGGACCGTAATGGTGCATAATATTTCACTTGCTAGGCAAGCTAACGTTAGAGAATTCTCAAGTCAACTTCAGTCAATTTCAATAGTAAGAACAGTTAAGCTAAACAGAAACTAAAACAACTTTGCGGGATAACATAAACTCGAAATATCTTAAACATTTAGGATCCGGAGTCACAACTCACGAGCTACTACGATTTACTACAAACAGAGTCTG